ACAACACAGTACAACCACACAGTCCACCATACCCTACAACAGTGTACAACACAGTCCACCATACTCCTACAACAGTGTACAACACAGTCCACCATACTCCTACAACAGTGTATAACACAGTTCACCATACTCCTACAGCAGTGTATAACACAGTCCACCATACTCCTACAACAGTGAATACCATACCTACAACAGTGAATAACACAGTCCACCATACTCCTACAACAGTGTATAACACAGTCCACATACTCCTACAACAGTGTATAACACAGTCCACCATACTCCTACAACAGTGTACAACACAGTCCACCATACTCCTACAACAGTGTACAACACAGTCCACCATACTCCTACAACAGTGTACAACAGCATACCCACAGAAAACACAGTCCACATACTCCTACAACAGTGTATAACACAGTCCACCATACTCCTACAACAGTGTATACACAGTCCACCATACTCCTCATGATAACACAGTCCACCATACCCTACAACAGTGTATACACAGTCCACCATACTCCTACAACAGTGTATAACACAGTCCACCATACTCCTACAACAGTGTAGCAACAGTCCACCATACTCCTACAACAGTGTATAACACAGTCCACCATACTCCTACAACAGTGTACAACACAGTCCACCATACTCCTACAACAGTATAACACAGTCCACCATACTCCTACAATATGAATACAGTCCACTATACTCCTCAACAGTGTAACAACCATACTCCTCCACAGTGATAACACATCCACCATATTCCTACAACAGTGTAACACAGTCCACCATACTCCTACAACAGTATAACACAGTCCACCATACTCCTACACAGTGTACAACACAGCCACCATACTCCTACAACAGTATAGTCCACCATACTCCTACAACAGTGTATAACACAGTCCACCATATTCACAACAGTGTATAACACAGTCATACTCCTACAACAGTGTATACAGTCCACCATATTCCTACAACAGTGTATAACACAGTCCACCTATACCCCATGATAACACAGTCCACCATACTCCCACAACAGTGTATAACACAGTCCACCATACTCTACAACAGTGAACACAGTCCACCATACTCCTACAACAGTGTAATAACACAGTCCACCATACTCCTACCAACAGTGTATAACACAGTCCACCATACTCACAACAGTATAACACAGTCCACCATACTCCTACAACAGTGTATAACACAGTCCACCATACTCCTACAACAGTGTATACACAGTCCACCATACTCCTACAACAGTGCAAACACAGTCCACCATACTCCTACAACAGTGTATAACACAGTCCACCATACTCCTACAACAGTGTATAACACAGTCCACCATACTCCTCAACAGTGAACAGTCCACATACTCCACAACAGTATAACACCACCATACTCCTACAACAGGATAATCACCATACCCTACAACAGTATACAGTCCACCATATCCACAACAGTGCAAACAGTCCACCATACTCCTACAACAGTGTATAACACAGTCCACTATACTCCTACAACAGTGTATAACACAGTCCACCATAATTCTACATGAAACAGTCCAATTACAACAGTGTATAACACAGTCCACCATACTCCTACAACAGTGTATAACACAGTCCACCATACTCCTACAACAGTGTATAACACAGTCCACATACCCTCAACAGGTACAACACAGTCCACCATACTCCTACAACAGTGTAACACCACCATACTCCTACAACAGTGTATAACACAGTCCACTATACCCTACAACAGTGTATAACACAGTCCACCATACTCCTACAACAGTGTATAACACAGTCCACCATACTCCTCAACAGTGATAACACAGTCCACCATACTCTACACAGTGTATAACAGTCCACTATACTCCTACAACAGTGTATAACACAGTCCACCATACTCCTACAACAGTGATAACACAGTCCCATTCCTAAACAGTATAACACATCCACTATACCCCACAACAGTGTATAACAAGTCCACCATATCTACAACAGTGTATAACACAGTCCAATTATACTCCTACAACAGTGTATAACACAGTCCACCATACTCCTACAACAGTGTATAACACAGTCCACCATACTCCTACACAGTGTATAACACAGTCCACCATTTCACAACAGTGTATAACAGTCCACCATATCTTAAAACAGTGCATAACACAGTCCACCATACTCCTACAACAGTGTATAACACAGTCCACCATACTCCTACAACAGTGTATACACAGTCCACTATACTCCTACAACAGTGTATAAACATCCACCATATTCCCAAACAGTGTATAACACAGTCCATACATCCATACATAGTCCACTATATCACACAGTGTATAACACAGTCCACCATAATTCCTCTACAAAAGTGTATAACACAGTCCAACTATACTCCTACAACAGTGTATAACACAGTCCAAATACTCCTACAACATGTATAACACAGTCCACCATACTCCTACAACAGTGTATAACACAGTCCACTATACCCTACAACATGTATAACACAGTCCACCATATTCCACAACAGTGTATAACACAGTCCCCATACCTACAACAGTGTAACACAGTCCATACTCAAACAGTCCAAATTACCTACAACAGTGTATAACACAGTCCACCATACTCCTACAACAGTGTACAACACAGTCCACCATACTCCTACAACAGTGTATAACACAGTCCACCATACTCCTACAACAGTGTATAACACAGTCCACCATACAACAGTGTATAACACAGTCCACCATACTCCTACAACAGTGTAAAACACAGTCCACCATACTCCTACAACAGTGTACAACAGAGTCCACCATACTCCTACAACAGTGTATAACACAGTCCACCATACTCCTACAACAGTGTACAACACAGTCCACCATACTCCTACAACAGTGTATAACACAGTCCACCATACTCCTACAGCATTGTATACTTACAGTCCACCATACTCCTACAACGGTGTACAACAGTCCACCATACTCACAACGGTGTACAGCACAGTCACCATACTCCTACAACGGTGGCCCATAGCACAGTCCACCATACAACAGTGTATAACACAGTCCACCCATACAACGGTGTATAACACAGTCCACCACATACTCCTACAACAGTGTAAAACACAGTCCACCATACACCTACAACAATGTATAACACAGTCCACCATACAACAGTGTATAACACAGACCACCATACTCCTACAACAGTGTAAAACACAGTCCACCATACTCCTACAACAATGTACAACACAGTCCACCATACTCCTACAACAGTGTACAACACAGTCCACCATACTCCTACAACAGTGTACAACACAGTCCACCATACTCCTACAACAGTGTATAACACAGTCCACCATACTCCTACAACAGTGTACAACACAGTCCACCATACTCCTACAACAGTGTACAACCAGTCCACCATACTCCTACAACAGTGTACAACACAGTCCACCATACTCCTACAACAGTGTACAACACAGTCCACCATACTCCTACAACAGTGTAAAACACAGTCCACCATACTCCTACAACAGTGTATAACACAGTCCACCATACTCCTACAAGAGTGTATAACACAGTCCACCATACTCCTACAACAGTGTAAAACACAGTTCACCATACTCCTACAGCAGTGTATAACACAGTCCACCATACTCCTACAACAGTGAATAACACAGACCACCATACACTACAACAGTGAATAACACAGTCCACCATACTCCTACAACAGTGTATAACACAGTCCACCATACTCCTACAACAGTGTATAACACAGTCCACCATACTCCTACAACAGTACAACACAGTCCACCATACTCCTACAACAGTGTACAACACAGTCCACCATACTCCTACAACAGTGTAAACACAGTCCACCATACTCCTACAACAGTGTATAACACAGTCCACCATACTCCTACAACAGTGTATAACACAGTCCACCATACTCCTACAACAGTGTACACACAGTCCACCATACTGTATAACACAGTCCACCATACTCCTACAACAGTGTACAACACAGTCCACCATACTCCTACAACAGTGTATAACACAGTCCACCATACTCCTACAACAGTGTATAACACAGTCCACCATACTCCTACAACAGTGTATAACACAGTCCACCATACTCCTACAACAGTGTATAACACAGTCCACCATACTCCTACAACAGTGTATAACACAGTCCACCATACTCCTACAACAGTGTATAACACAGTCCACCATACTCCTACAACAGTGTATAACACAGTCCACCATACTCCTAGCCTACCCTAATTCAACCTTACCCACCCTAATCTAATATACCTTACCCTAACCTAACCTAACCTACCTTAATCTAATCTAATCTAATCTAACCTACCTTAATAAAATTTTACCTAACTTAAACTAACCAACCTTATCTTAATATATAATCTTACCTAACCTAACCTACCTTCACCTAACCAACTCTAACTTAACCTAACCAATCTCAAAGGCGGTATTTTCTGGAAAATTCCGATTTGTTCAAAAATTTTACGAGGGGCACATTTTCTGGAAAAATCCGAGAAAATTTTCCCGATACCAGGAAAATTCCGGGGATGAAAGATATTTTTCCGGGTTCGAGAGAGTCGTCAACGTTACCCGGAAACCTCTCATTCCCGGAAGCGCTCTGCACCACCTGTTACGGCTAACAGGGATATCACCGTATTCCTTTATGAGGGATATTGTGTCAGAAGATGGATCACTACCAGCTACTGGATCACATTCCTGTACTGTACAGTGGTCCCTCGGTTAACGAACACAATTCGTTCCAGAAGGTCGTTCATTAAACGAAAATTTGTTAACCGAGGCGTTCGTTAACCGAGGGATCACTGTACACTTGTTTGGCTACGCTACCCTGCAGTATAACACAGGTTGTCTGCTCCAGAAAATAGATCAGGAACTTGTGTAAGATATTTTAAATTCTACCGGTCTTAACTTCACGGTAACTTACCTGTCCATGAGCCGCAAGTGCAAATGACACCTGTGTGCCCGTGGTCAGCTTGCGTATTGTCAGGCCCTGCAGAGCCTCTATGACACGAGGTCGATACACCTTGGCCGTGTCCCCATGTCCAAGTTTACCGTGGTCACCTGTTGAATAATGAGGATGATGGTGATGCAACTCTCCCATTCATCACATCACACAGCACAATACTCCTCCTCATACAGGTGTCACTGGTATGATGTCATACTGTACAGGAGTTCCCTGAATTATGGAATCCCAGGCTATGGAGAAAAAAAAATCATCCTTATGGAATTTGGGTAAATCTTAAACAAAAAAAAGAAAAAAATAACACGATTTTTAACCTAAATTTTTACCAACATTTTACAATTTATTTTGCGTGGATTCTTGGTGGTAGTGACAAGACAGTTGGAGGGCTGCTCACCTCTCCAGTTGGCAGCAGCCACAACAACAATGGCACTGATCAGTTTGAATTCTTCCCCAGTTAGTGATGAGGACTGTGTTACTGTGAACCCTTATTCAAGATGAGAGGAAAAAGACCATCAGGTTCAAGTGAAAGCTGTGGTGATAAGAGATTCCCTAAAGGAATTATGTTGGACAATAAACATGATGTTTTAAGGAGGTAACTTCCAGTAACTCTGATCACACCGCCTCAACTTACCACCACCAGACATGATGTTTTAAGGAGGTAACTTCCAGTAACTCTGATCACACCGCCTCAACTTACCACCTCCAGACATGATGTTTTAAGGAGGTAACTTCCAGTAACTCTGATCACACCGCCTCAACTTACCATCTCCAGACATGATGTTTTAAGGAGGTAACTTCCAGTAACTCTGATCACACCGCCTCAACTTACCACCTCCAGACATGATGTTTTAAGGAGGTAACTTCCAGTAACTCTGATCACACCGCCTCAACTTACCACCTCCAGACATGATGTTTTAAGGAGGTAACTTCCAGTAACTCTGATCACACTGCCTCAACTTACCACCTCCAGACATGATGTTTTAAGGAGGTAACTTCCAGTAACTCTGATCACACCGCCTCAACTTACCACCTCCAGACATGATGTTTTAAGGAGGTAACTTCCAGTAACTCTGATCACACCGCCTCAACTTACCATCTCCAGACATGATGTTTTAAGGAGGTAACTTCCAGTAACTCTGATCACACCGCCTCAACTTACCATCTCCAGTAGCACTCAACACCGTTTCTGGGGAGTTAAATTCAAGTGTTTTGTTCATTTATTACCATGTTAAATCATGAATGACTTATAGTATGTGGTTAATACTGTCTAATTTCATACACATACTGTACAGGCATCCCCCGCATTATGGAATCTCTGGTTATGGAGATTTGCTCTTACAAAAATTTTAAATTATGACAATAACTTCGGTTATGCAAAAAAAAAATTGCCCTTAAGGAATTTGGGTAAATAAAAAAAAATACATTTTTTGTTGAAATTTTTACCAAAATTGTAAAAATAATAGTAAAATTTCACTTGTTATTTATATACAAAACTTTACAATAAATAACAAACATCTCAGTGAAAACAGTTGTTGACAATCAGACTTATGTTTCATAGTTGTAATAGTGTTCTTTTACTTAAATATACCCATGTGGGGGGATTCGACAGGTCTTACAAAGCCCGGAGTTTAAGGGTTAAGCATTACAGTATTATAAAACACTCAGCCGGTACAGGCTACCGAAGACAGTACTGTCCAGCAGACACCAAGAGAAAGACACAGCTCTGGTGCTGCTATCAGCATATTTGCACACCCACTTTTCCACAGTTATAACTGGGCAGTATATGCAGGGTGATCAAGCTGTCTAGTAGCTGGCAAGACTGAGTTGCTACCGTCTGAGGTAGTCAAGTATTACTCAGCTACCCGGTAATAGAAGATAAAATACTTCCAGAAGCAAAATAAATGAAACTGTACTGGCACCTTCTATATCCTCAAGGCCTTAGTTTTAACATACTGTACATCATGAACTAAACAGTGATGGTCATCTTTACAACAGGGATCATGCCTTACATTATAAAATATTATACACCAGCCTCATACTACACTGTCTTTAGTGAAAATTATTTAACAGATGAAAAACATTATATCAAGTTGAAAATACTTACCAGATCCAAATGACCACACGGTTCTACCATCGGCCGACAGAGCCAGTGTGTGGGCACTGCCGCACACCACCTGACCCACCCCCGAGATGTCCCGCACCAGTGTAGGCACATTTCGGCTTGTACTGTCTCCGTGACCTTGGGAAAGTTACGAGATATTGTAATAGGTTTAACTTTCAAAATACAGGGGTGTATAAATATACAGTACTGTATTGTACAATATACAGGTATATGCAAAAAATATCAAACTGACTAAAATATTTTCCTGTCCAAGATATTTAAGCTTTACATATGCAGTAAGTGAAAATTATTTTGTCACAATCATTTGGAAAGTAAAGATTATGCCTATTCAAAGTTCACCCAAGAAGCCTGTAAACACAGAGAATTGATCCTGAATTCCTTAATTTCAGAAGAATCTAAAAACAAAACTAAACAAAGGTTCCTTTACCACAGGTCCAAATGTCATCTTGGGTTAATGTTAATACTTTAGGATAAACTAAGTATCCTGTCCTGTTGTGTCAGCCACAGGCGAGGACACACCAGAAGCAGTTGTCCCCTGAGAGCTCTATATGTTAATAGAACCATAAGTCTACAGTGTTGACAGCCCTATCCTCTATGAGGTCTTGAACAAAATTATAAGTTATTATGAGAGCATAACAATATATTAACTCTACCTAGTGCAGGATGGGGCTCTTTTAGCCTCTTCCTTGGGCTGTTTCTTGGTACATACTGTATTTACCTTAATACATATAGACTTCCTTAACTCTCCTAGAAAACTTATCAAAATATGAAAAATAACCTAATAATTTAATTAACATTGACATTTCCGTCCAATGAATTATTTTTTATTGGATTTATGGTAAAAACCAAAATAATGAGCATGAAACAATATAAAACTTGGACGAACAATTGTGAGAGAGAGGTGCTGCTGACACACGCTGCCAAACATGTGATTAATACTCACGGCTCTAGTCCTAGCTCTTGTCAATTATTGCTTTTTACCTTAGTACAGTAATATGTTGCTCAAAATTGTGGTTTTTCACAATGAACTTACATTTAATATTTGTTTAATTTAAGTTTCTAGCAGTCCATGGTGCGTTAGAGACACAGGAGGTGTATAATTAGTGGGTCAGAGGCGTAGTGTTAAATTATAATTACCTGACCTCTGGTCACCAGAAATGCTAAAAAAAAATAATAATAATAATTCTAAGAAATGGGGAAGATTAATAAAATATCTTCTGAAAGAACCACACTTACCTAAACTAACCTAACCTTATTCAACCATAAGGTTAGGTTAGTTTAGGTTGTCTGTTTGTAAGTTAATTTACAAAATTACCAATATGCATGCTGGTCATTTTGCACAATAACTGATTCCACATATTAAAAAAAAAAAAAACACATACGGTGGTGGCTCGGTTAACAAACAGTCCAATTAACGAAATTTTGGTTAACGAATTAGCTCCCATAAGGATTTTCAGTTCCATTAACGAACAAAACTTTGATTACCGAAAGCCTTACGAGAAGCACGTTTTGTTGTGCGCATCAGCTGATTGGCCAGTCCGCCAATACAGTAATCAGTAATTTGTTTCCAGTAGAGTAAATATCAAGAAAGTGTCTACCTTTATACAGTTAACTGTAAGGCACCATGACAATTATTACTGCAACAAACAAACATTAAAACTTTCATAACCAGATACACTTAACATCACTCACCAAGTCTGCCATAATCTCCCTCTCCCCAGGTGAAGAGCTCCCCTTCCTGAGTGACACAGGCTGAGTGGCGGTAACCTGCTGACACCCACCGCACCACCTTGCCCGTCAGTGGTCCAGCGATCAGTCTCGGGTATTTCTGTGTCGCATTATTTCCATGGCCAAGTTTTCCATAGTCACCTGAGGGAGAAAACCACGAGAAATTAGTTAACATATCTTTATTTTATAAGACATAGATATACACGTCCACTAGCCATACACGTACACTAGACATACACTAGTCATACACCTCCACTAGTCATACACGTACACTAGCCATACACGTACACTAGCCATACACGTACACTAGACATACACTAGTCATACACCTCCACTAGTCATACACGTACACTAGTCATACACGTACACTAGCCATACACGTACACTAGACATACACTAGTCATACACCTCCACTAGTCATACACGTACACTAGCCATACACGTACACTAGCCATACACGTACACTAGCCATACACGTACACTAGACATACACTAGTCATACACGTACACTAGTCATACACCTCCACTAGTCATACACGTACACTAGCCATACACGTACACTAGCCATACACGTACACTAGACATACACTAGTCATACACCTCCACTAGTCATACACGTACACTAGCCATACACGTACACTAGCCATACACGTACACTAGCCATACACGTCCACTAGCCATACACGTACACTAGACATACACTAGTCATACACCTCCACTAGTCATACACGTACACTAGTCATACACGTACACTAGCCATACACATCCACTAGCCATACACGTACACTAGCCATACACGTCCACTAGCCATACACTAGTCATACACCTCCACTAGCCATACACGTACACTAGCCATACACATACACTAGCCATACACGTACACTAGCCATACACGTCCACTAGCCATACTGTACACTAGTCATACACCTCCACCGAAACTTGGATGACTCTGACGAGCAAATTTTTTTTATGAGAGTACCACATAGAAGGGTACAACCTTTTTCACAAGGACAGGGAAGGTAGGAAGGGGGAGGGGTCGCACTCTTCGTCAGGGACACATTAAAATAACGGGTGAAATATGAACCGAGTCTGTATGGGTAGAAATTACGGAAAGAAGAGAAAAAATAATTATGGGAGTGATTTACAGGCCCCCAAGTTTTGGGAAAGAAGCAGCTCAGCCCAAATGGCAGGAAATGAGTAGGACAGCAAGATACAACAACCTGTGCATTATGGGGAATTTCAACTTCAGAAATATTGACTGGGACAACATTGTAGGTGACTATGAATCTGAAGACTTCCTAGTCGCAGTACAGGACAATTTTTTGAAACAACTAATTACAGAACCTACTAGAGGTGACAATATATTAGACCTAGTGTGAACAAATAAAGAAAATATTATCAGAGATATCACAGTAGGGGAAGAACTAGGGAACAGTGATCACAGAGAAATCAGGTTCACCCTAAATTGGGAAGCGAAAAACAATGACAATATGGTCAGTCCCAGACTTTCGATCGGCGAATTATGAGGGGTTAAGAAGGTACCTAGATGAGGTCGCCTGGTAACAGTCAGGTCAGTCCCAGATAAGAACGGGTGAGGTCACTGGCGACACAACAATTGATCGTGACTATAATATATTCACTAGAATACTACGAAAGCACAGGAACAAAATATATACCATACAGAAAAATTAGGTCAAATAAGAATGAGCCAAGGTGGATGGCAAAAAAACTTGAACATGACATAGGAATAAAGAAAGGAATTTATAAGAAATTAAAGGGAGGGGAGGAGCAGCTCAGAGATAGGTATAATGAACAGTCTAGGAATGTTAAGAAAAATGTAAGGAAGGCAAAGAGGGACTACGAAATCAGGATAGCAAGAGAATCCAAGGCAAATCCCAAGGGATTTTTCCAGGTATATAGGACAAAGGTCAAGGATAAAGTGGGACCTTTAAAGTCAGGGAGGGGAGAAGTGATCGATGACAGTGAAAAAATAAGCAGAGAATTAAACAGTTACTTCTTATCAGTTTTCACAGAAGAAATTCATGAGGAAATGCCAGAGGTGGAACTGATATTTAGGGGAAATGAAATAGAGAAATTAAAGAATATCACTATCAGAAAAGAGGATGTTCTTAAGAAGATAAATAAATTAAAGAAGACAAAATCCCCAGGGCCGGATGAAATTTTTCCTCGAGTTTTGAACGAGTGTAAGGAACAGATTAGCGGACCCCTCGTAAATTTATTTACAATATCATTAGACACGGAAGTTGTGCCAGACTTGTAGAAACAGGCAAATGTAGTACCCATATCAAAAAATGGAGACAGAGCATTAGCGTCAAATTACAGGCGGATTAGTTTGACATCAGTAGTGGGGAAATTTCTTGAATCAATAATAACAAATAGCATCCGATTGCATTTAGAGAAAAACAAAGTAATCTACGACTCTCAACATGGATTTACAAAGGGAAAATCTTTTCTTACAAATCTTCTGTCGTTTTTAAGGAGTCTTCGAGGTAGTAAATAATGACGAAAATTATGATGTTATTTACTTAGACTTTAGCAAAGCGTTTAACAGAGTACCGCATCAGAGGCTTCTGAGAAAAGTTAAGGCTCATGGTATCGAGGGGAAAGTTTTAAATTGGATAAAATCATGGGTCACCGATACAACACAGAGGGTCAGCGTAGATGATGTTAAATCTGAGTGGGGCTGTGTAACCGGTGGGGTTCCCCAGGGGTCAGTAATGGGCCCACTCTTGTTCATAATCTACATAAACGATCTAGATACTGGGATCAGCAGTGACATGAGCAAGTTTGTGGATGACGCCAAAATAGGGTGGCAGATTAATTCATGGCATGGTGCAAATGCACTACAGGAGGATTCAAATAAACTACAGGAGTGGTCAGAAAAATGGCAAATGATATTCAACACCAGCAAGTGCAGCGTACTTAATATTGGAAGAACAAATACTGTCAATGTATACAGCCTTAACAACATCAACCTAGAGAAGTCGACTTGTGAAAGAGACTTAGGGGTACTTGTAAGCCCAGACCTATGGCCTAGAAAACAGCGCGTTAATGTTCGAAATAAGGCAAACAGAGTATAAGGTTTTATATCTAGAAGTGTAAGTACAGTCATGCGCCGGTTAACGTCCTAGATACATTTTTGGAAACGTGACATTAACTTAAATGGACGTTGTCCAGTCATCACATAAACTTTGTATTTATACTTACGTGTATGTGGAATACTATATACGTACATATACACTTTTACTGTTAAATCACTACTGTAATGTGATACAGGTGATTAATTTTTATCTCTTGTGCAAAATATGACGTTTATATTAAAATTATTCACCGTTTTGCAAGGATTCCAGCAACGCCAGCAGATGGGGGAGAGGGAGGGAGGGAGGGGAGGAGGGAGGAGGGAGGGAGGGAGGGAGGGAGGGAGGAGGGAGGGAGGAGGGAGGGAGGAGGAGGGAGGAGAGGAGGGAGGGAGGGAGGAGGAGGTGGCGTGGGGGAGGGAGCGGTTTGATAGTTGGCACAGGCCCAGGTCTAAGTGTGCATATTTATCAGTTCTTCGAAGCTTTCTTATAAAGAGCCAGTGAAATGACCTGGTGAATATAATTTACATTGCTGATTCTTGCAAGATACTGATTAATTTGAATATAAACATGCTATAATTTGCACTAGACATAACAATTTTAGTACCGTAATCAAATTAGTACATGTACACTCCAGCTTTGCACTAAGGTCATTTATTTTTTTTGTGTTTCTTTTAGTATGGTGTGTGCATGTAAATGGATGAAAATAAATTTAGAAATTTATGTAAATCTACCCAAAAATACAATTGAAATACTTTATATGATAAAATGTACACTAATGTACTACAATTTTATCTCTTGAGTAAAATATATGACGTTTATATTCAAATTATTGGCTGTCTTGCAAGGATTCCAGCAATGCAAATTATAATCTCCTAACTTTAGTCTGAGATATTATATAAGATAAAACTCTAAGCCTAAAACCCTGGCTGAGCAGATAAGAGGGAGGAGGGAGGAGGGAGGAGGGAGGGAGGAGGGAGGAGGGAGGGAGGAGGGGAGGGAGGGAGGGAGGAGGGAGGGAGGAGGGAGGAGGAGGAGGGAGGGAGGGAGGGAGGGGTGGGGGTGGAGGTTGAGGTGATATGTTTGACAGTTTGAGCCGAAGGTCTCTGTGTGTTTATTTAACAGTCCTACTGAGCTCTCATTTTAAAATGCCTGGGAGAATATAATTAACATTGCTGGGATTCTTGTAAGATACTGATTAATTTGAATATAAACATGCTGTAATTTGCACTAGACATAACAATTTTAGTACTGTAATGAATGCATGTACACTGCAGCATTGCACTAAGGTCATTTATTTCTTTTAGTACGGTGTGTGCATGTAAATGGATGAAAATAAATGAAAAAATTCATGTAAATCTACCCAAAAATACAGTTGAAAACTTTATACTGTATTATAAAATGTGCTACACAGTATTGTACACTAATGTACTACATTTTTATATCTGAGCAAAATATATGACGTTTATATTCAAATTATTGGCTGTCTTGCAAAGGATTCCAGCAATGCAAATTCTAATCTCTAACTTTAGTCTGAGATATTATATAAAATAAACACCTTAAAGAATAAAGTTATCACCAATCTTTTGTCTGGGAACACAAGGAGGCAGGTAGCCAGCGAGCATGGGGGGTGACAGAGTGTCTGGTGTTTGTTTATTTATTTGAGATAAGATTTGACAGTTGGCGCTGAAGGCCTGCCTGTTTATTTATCATTACTTAAGAGTGACTCAACTCTTCTCATAATTTGCCACCCAAACGACCTGGGTGAATATAACTTACATTGCTGGGATTCTTGTAAGATAGTGATTTATTTGAATACCTATATAAGCAATCTATATTTGCAATACACATAACAATTTAAGTACAGTAATCATTTAGTACATGTACAGTACAGGTTTGTTCCATTGTCAACCGAGGGACCACTGTATTGCAGTGTACTTGTACTGTACAATATTGACTAAATTCACTAGATAACGTAACAACTAATGGTTGGTAAAACTTGTCAAGTAAGTGAGTGTCAAGTCTGTCAGTATGAGTGGCACGTGTAAGTGCTTGTGTCCCCCATCTCTCGCTTCAGGACGCCTGAGTCCGTTTTCTCTTAATCTTAGAGTGCAGTACACCAGATACTCCTTTATTCCGTAGTAATGACACAGAATTTGAAATTGCAACCCCAATTGCAACTGGGATTGCAACTGTTGAGGCAACTAGATATGTCTGATTACAGTAAATGTGTTATTGTCAATTTGTAGGTGAAAGATTTTATCCTCAATAGATGTACGTTAACATTACACCTGGAGGCAAATGCTTACTAGAGCCTAAGGAAGGATATTCCTTTAACACATAATATCTGGCCAGTATGGGAAGGATCATCGTGTCTCCGTCAGGGGGTCGTGGAGTGGTGGTCCAGCAGGCGTCACGGAAGTTTTTTTGGACGTATATGCGATCGGACGTTGTTCGGTTGGACGTTAACCGGCGCATGACTATAATAAGAGTGCGGAGGTAATATTGTAACTACAGTATATCTTGCACTAGTCAGGCCGCACCTCGATTATGCCGTTCAGTTCTGGTGCCATTATTATAGAATGGGTATTAATTTCCTGGAGTCGGTGCAGCGAAGAATGACAAAATGATTCCGGGACTTAGAAACCTTCCATTTCAAGATAAATTAAAGAAACTAAACTTGCATTCCCTAGAAAGACGAAGAGTGCGGGCAGATATGATAGAAGTATTTAAGTGGGTGAAAAGAATCAATAAAGGAGATATAGATAAAGTTCTTATAATATCGGAGCAGGATAGGACTCGGAGCAACGGATTTAAGTTGGATAAGTTTAGGTTTAGGAGGGAGATATGAAGGAGCTGGTTCACAAATAGGGTGGTAGACGAGTGGAACAAGCTTAGCAACTTTGTAGTAAGTGCTGGAATGCAGGAAGTTTTTAAAGGAGGCTTGATAGATTCATGGATGATAGAGAGTGGTAGTAACTCTCGACAGGAGCTGCCATGCACAGGCCAACCAGCCTATTGCAGACTCCTTATGTTCTTATGTTCTCACACATGTTCTAAATACGACTGTCAGACAAATAGTTACCATCGCCCCACGTGTAGACTTGGCCTGTTGTCGACAGTGCTATGGTATGACCGTCGCTCCCCTTTGAAGACGAAACTCTTCTTACTCTCGAGTCCAGATTGAGTCTTCTCGGTGAGGCTTGGTTATTTGAGTCTCCGAGACCTAGGCGGCCGTAACTTCCCTTGCCACACGCACTGATCCCGCCATCTTTGTGGACGACAAAGGTGCAATATTGACCAGCCTCGACCTGTACAAACAAAAATAAGAATAATGAACATCAGAAAAGATATTATTACTCCTGTTAGTTGTACACAGAGCCATTATTCTTGACAAAATAATCCAGTGATTAATTCATACGTCAGCCGTGATTACAGTATGTGGTGACACAGTCTCTTGCAGCTCTCTCTCACCAGCTATTTATCATCTTCTCACACCTTCTCCCCATCTCATTCTTGGCCTCCTCCCTCTCCACATTCTGACTTTCTCCTGTTGATCCAACTGGTCTCATTCATATGCTACACCATCTCACCCTTCCTCTACACAAAACTTCATCTATACAGCACTGTCAATACACCAGTTATTAATATCTAACACTACAAGTTTTCCTGGTACATGTAGTAGTCACAAACTGGTCTTTGAGGTCCTCCATGAGGTAGTCATCAAGAAGACTAAAGCTGTAGATATATACGACTGATCAGCGGACAGAGTCCGTGATCAAGGAGAGTTAAATGATCCTGACTCAGTTATAATGGAACTTGAGGCGGGTGTAAGCCTCTATACACAGTACCTTCATTAACTTGAATCACTATAATCCAGATTTTGGCTTAATTTTGGCTTAAGTTTTTTTCCAGAAGTAAATTATTTGAAAAAGGAATGAATCGGAAATAACCGAGCGGTATGAAAAGTTGATGATTATTATTATAGGAATAAGTAATATCTCTGTTAGCCGGAACAATTGTACCAGAGCACTTCAGGGGATGAGAGATTTCCGGCTAACCGGACGACTTCAGGATATAATATTGTGTGTAGGATATATTATTGTGTGTAGGATATAATATTGTGTGTAGGATATAATATTGTGTGTAGGATATAATATTGTGTAGGATATAATATTGTGTAGGATATTAATATTGCGTGTAGGATATAATATTGTGTAGGATATAATATTGTGTAGGATATAATATTGTGTAGGATATAATATTGTGTACGATATAATATTGTGTACGATATAATATTGTATAGGATATAATATTGTGTAGGATATAATATTGTGTAGGATATATTGTGTTGGATATAATATTGTGTTGGATATAATATTGTGTGTAGGATATAATATTGAGTGGAGGATATAATATTGTGTTGGATATAATATTGTGTAGGATATAATATTGTGTACGATATAATATTGTGTAGCATATAATATTATGTAGGATATAATATTGCGTGTAAGATATAATATTGTGTAGGATATTAATATTGCGTGTAGGATATAATATTGTGTAGGATATAATATTGTGTAGGATATAATATTGTATGTAGGATATAATATTGTGTAGGATATAATATTGTATGTAGGATATATTGTGTAGGATATAATATTGTGTAGGATATAATATTGTGTACGATATAATATTGTGTACGATATAATATTGTGTAGGATATATTGTGTTGGATATAATATTGTGTTGGATATAATATTGTGTGTAGGATATAATATTGAGTGGAGGATATAATATTGTGTTGGATATAATATTGTGTAGGATATAATATTGTGTAGGATATAATATTGTGTAGGATATAATATTGTGTAGGATATAATATTGTGTAGGATAAAATATTGTGTTGGATATAATATTGTGTTGGATATAATATTGTGTAGGATATAATATTGTGTAGGATATAATATTGTGTAGGATATAATATGTGTAGGATATAATATTGTGTTGGATATAATATTGTGTAGGATATAATATTGTGTAGGATATAATATTGTGTAGGATATAATATTGTGTGGATAGGATATTGTGTAGGATATAATGTTGTGTGTAGGATACAATATTGTGTTGGATATAATATTGTGTAGGATATAATATTGTGTAGGATATAATATTGTGTAGGATAAAATATTGTGTTGGATATAATATTGTGTTCGATATAATATTGTGTAGGATATAATATTGTGTAGGATATAATATTGTGTTGGATATAATATTGTGTAGGATATAATATTGTGTTGGATATAATATTGTGTAGGATATAATATTGTGTAGGATATAATATTGTGTAGGATAGAATATTGTGTTGGATATAATATTGTGTAGGATATAATATTGTGTAGGATATAATATTGTGTAGGATATAATATTGTGTAGGATATAATATTGTGTTGGATATAATATTGTGTAGGATATAATATTGTGTAGGATATAATATTGTGTAGGATATAATATTGTGTTGGATATAATATTGTGTAGGATATAATATTGTGTAGGATATAATATTGTGTAGGATAGAATATTGTGTTGGATATAATATTGTGTAGGATATAATATTGTGTAGGATATAATATTGTGTAGGATATAATATTGTGTAGGATATAATATTGTGTTGGATATAATATTGTGTAGGATATAATATTGTGTAGGATATAATATTGTGTTGGATATAATATTGTGTAGGATATAATATTGTGTAGGATATAATATTGTGTAGGATAGAATATTGTGTAGGATATAATATTGTGTGTAGGATATAATATTGTGTGTAGGATATAATATTGTGTGTAGGATACAATATTGTGTGTAGGATATAGTATTGTGTAGGATATATTGTGTAGGATACAATATTGTGTGTAGGATATAATATTGTGTAGGATATAATATTGTGTAGGATATAATATTGTGTAGGATATAATATTGTGTGTGCAGGATTAAGTAATACGTGTGGTGACATGTAATATTGTGCTTGATATGGGTTGTATTGTAGATATAATTACTGTGCAGGATATAACATTGTGTGGTGATTACAATATCAGGCTGATATACTGATTGCGCCTGGATATAACATTGTGTGGTGATATAACATTGTGCAGGACAGAATATCGTGCAGGATATACAATATTGTGCAGGATATAATATTGTGTAGGATATAATATTGTGTGTAGGATATAATATTGTGTAGGACATAATATTGTGTAGGATATATTGTGTGTAGGATACAATATTGTGTAGGATATAATATTGTGTAGGATATAATATTGTGTGTAGGATATAATATTGTGTAGGACATAATATTGTGTAGGATATATTGTGTGTAGGATACAATATTGTGTGTAGGATATAATATTGTGTAGGATATAATATTGTGTAGGATATATTGTGTGTAGGATACAATATTGTGTGTAGGATATAATATTGTGTGTAGGATATAATATTGTGTAGGATATAATATTGTGTAGGATGTAATATTTGTCTGTGTGGATATAATATTGTGTTGGATATAATATTGTGTGTAGGATATAATATTGTGTAGGATATAATATTGTGTTGGATATAATATTGTGTAGGATATAATATTGTGTAGGATATAATATTGTGTAGGATATAATATTGTGTAGGATATAATATTGTGTGTAGGATATAATATTGTGTAGGATATAATATTGTGTAGGATATAATATTGTGTTGGATATAATATTGTGTGTAGGATATAATATTGTGTGTAGGATATAATATTGTGTTGGATATAATATTGTGTGTAGGATATAATATGTGTAGGATATAATATTGTGTAGGATATAATATTGTGTAGGATATAATATTTGTGTAGGATATAATATTGTGTGTAGGATATACTATTGTGTTGGATATAATATTGTGTGTAGGATATAATATTGTGTGTAGGATATAATATTGCGTTGGATATAATATTGTGTAGGATATAATATTGTGTTGGATATAATATTGTGTGTAGGATATAATATTGTGTGTTGGATATAATATTGTGTTGGATATAATATTGTGTAGGATATAATATTGTGTTGGATATAATATTGTGTTGGATATAGTATTGTGTGTAGGATATAATATTGTGTGTAGGATATACTATTGTGTTGAATATATTGTGTTGGATATAATATTGTGTGTAGGATATAATATTGTGTGTAGGATATAATATTGTGTTGGATATAATATTGTGTGTAGGATATAATATTGTGTGTAGGATATAATATTGTGTTGGATATAATATTGTGTTGGATATAATATTGTGTTGGATATAATATTGTGTGTAGGATATAATATTGTGTGTAGGATATACTATTGTGTTGGATATAATATTGTGTGTAGGATATAATATTGTGTGTAGGATATAATATTGCGTTGGATATAATATTGTGTAGGATATAATATTGTGTTGGATATAATATTGTGTGTAGGATATAATATTGTGTGTTGGATATAATATTGTGTTGGATATAATATTGTGTAGGATATAATATTGTGTTGGATATAATATTGTGTTGGATATAGTATTGTGTGTAGGATATAATATTGTGTGTAGGATATACTATTGTGTTGAATATATTGTGTTGGATATAATATTGTGTGTAGGATATAATATTGTGTGTAGGATATAATATTGTGTTGGATATAATATTGTGTGTAGGATATAATATTGTGTGTAGGATATAATATTGTGTTGCATATAATCTTGTGTTGGATATAATATTGTGTTGGATATAATATTGTGTGTAGGATATAATATTGTGTGTAGGATACAATATTGTGTAGGATATAATATTGTGTAGGATATAATATTGTGTGTAGGATATAATATTGTGTGTAGGATATAATATTGTGTTGGATATAATATTGTGTTGGATATAATATTGTGTTGGATATAATATTGTGTAGGATATAATATTGTGTGTAGGATATAATATTGTGTGTAGGATATAATATTGTGTTGGATATAATATTGTGTTGGATATAATATTGTGTTGGATATAATATTGTGTAGGATATAATATTGTGTTGGATATAATATTGTGTTGGATATAATATTGTGTTGGATATAATATTGTGTTGGATATAATATTGTGTAGGATATAATATTGTGTTGGATATAATATTGTGTAGGATATAATATTGTGTTGGATATAATATTGTGTTGGATATAATATTGTGTTGGATATAATATTGTGTAGGATATAATATTGTGTGTAGGATATAATATTGTGTTGGATAT